TGGCTCACAATGTTGCTAAGTAGGCTAGGCTTTATCCTATTCTTTTACCTTTATGTCTTTCCACACAGCTACTTTGAAATTTTTTTATTGGTCTAATTTCAATAAATCTCTAAGCAAAAATTAAAAACTCTCTGGATGATACACTTTCTTGTTGTGACCACAAATCTTCTCTCAGTTATCTGTATAAGTGTAACAACAAAAAAGGAAAACAATTGAAAAACTCAAAAAGGTTCCCCCTATGACATCGTTGAAAGAATAAAATTTTATACTTCGGGCCAGTTTGTTTCGTATACTCAAACTCAACTTATTTAATTGATTCTACTGTAATGTTTTCTTCTCACAAAAAATTTAAATTTCAAACGTCAAAATAAAAACTCATGGTGTGAGTATATCTTCCAAACGGGCCTTTTGATTCGTTTTGAACAATAATCCGAATCCTATTCTAATATCATGCCCGAACTAAACAAGAAAGGAAAATAGAAAACGTGACTTTTAACAAAACAAAAATAAATAAATAGATAACATTGCCCATTCTTTTCCTTATTCATTCCAGTTCTTTACCATTCTCAATTTCTCATCCATCACCTATTTCATAATGTAAAGGGAAATAATAGAAAATAGGCCTATACGAAAAGTTTAAGAAAGTATATAAGTCAACTTTTAATTATAAGAATTAATAGGTCATAACTTGTCAAGTTATGATTCATAACCAGATAAGTTATGGACAAATTTGTGGAGTTATGGTTCATAAATAGTAAATTAGCCTATTTATGATTCATAAACAGTAAATTAGCCTATTTATTAACTTATGTAAACTATTAACCTATTAATTTTAAATCATCCCAAATTTTGACCTATTTTCCTCTTTCTCCCTAATGTAAATTATCGTTTAAGCCGTAAAAGAAAACTCTTTTTTGTTTCATTTTATGTTTTTCGTGTTTAAGCACCACAAATACACACTCAATCAACTGGGAAAAATTACCCTAAACAAAATAATGATGATGATGATAAAAATAATAATAATAATCATAATCGTAATAATAATAATAATAATAATAATAATAATCGTAATCATCATAATAATAATAATAATAATAATAGTAATAATAATAACAATAATAATAACCGGAAAAACCCATAAAATTGTCTTGATAAGAATTTACACTTCCAAAAGCTTCAGTTATCGGATTTATATTTTCATTCTCAATTCTAAGAAAGGTAAAAATCAATCAATCAATCAATCAATATTTCAAAAAAAGACCAATCAATCAAGAAATAAAATTAGATACGGTGAAGGTCATAGAACAGAGTACCGAAATAGATTTAACAGCTCCTCGTCCCAGTTGAAAGCCAAATTTTTTCCTCGTCAAAAAACCCCAATTCCCGGAGCAATCAAATCAAATTGAACTGGGAAGTTCAAAGAAGAAGAAAAATGAAAAGGAAGATTACGAGTTTGTGGGTGAATCTAATGCCCACGAAAAATCCCCAATATAAGGAATTCGCCGTTGCTTTAGATTCACTCACAAACCTGAAATATGCCTCCTCCTTCTTACTTCGACCTCATCAATTGATACCAAACTTTAATGCCATAAATGGAAAACAAAATATTTTTATAGTAATAGACTAGTATGAGGGAAGGCGATGCTAGATTGCCCTAATGGTGGCAATTGGCGAGTGTGAAACCCTAAAAAAAGCACCTTTCCTTCGAAGAAGATGCTTTAAATAATAGGTCGATAAGTCGGTAGGGTGGAAATTTTGCTCTTTCTAGGGTGATGCAATCAACAACAAGAGAAAAATAAAAAAATAAAAAAAAAAAGAGATAGAAACGACATGTCGTTTAGTGTTTACGTTTGTTATGTCGTCTGCGGCAAATAAAAGCGACATGTCGTTTATGCTGTCATTTTATATAGATTTCGGATGACATATCGTTTACTTGAATGGATTTTTTTTACACTAAACGAATGTCGTTAGCTTTTTCACTTCAATACGACATGTCGTTGCATGAACTGAGATGATATGCTCTTTTTTCTTTTTCCATCTTTGTCTGCTTTTTAGTTCTTACATTGATACATTCTAAGATTTTTTTTTTTTTTTTTTGACAAAGAGAGTTTAATATATTGTCAAATTTTACTGAAAGCTCATTATATATAATTGAAACGAATAGTTACGTATTCTTGTAAATATTTTTTACTATATATACTGAGTTAATAGTTTAAGTCAATCGTTAAAAATTTAATGTTTTATGTAAAATTAATATCTACTTATGAGTCTAGATATGTTGTTTCCATTTTTATGTCAGTCACGTTAGTTGTCTCTATTATTTAGTATGTCATCTAAATTTAATAATCTCACCACATGAATAGAAATTAAATACTAAAAATACTTAAACAATACGAATGTGTCAAAATTTAATTAGAAGGATAACGACCAAAACAAAAAAATGGGATAAGAGATATTGATTCTAATGATCAAAGATAGCTTCTCATCCCAGATGTTTAAACACTCAGGTAGCTTCATATATCTAATTGAAAAATATAATTTTTTAAAGGATGTAAAGATTATCGGTCGCTTTTTTTTCACGTTTATTCAATCTAATCGATGCAACATACGACTAATTATGATCTATTTACGCATAAATGCAAGTGTAAGTCTACACATATAATTATATAAACCACAAATGACTTCGATAAGTGCTACATGTATGCTATAATCACTAGTCTTCCAAAGAAAAGAAAAACCATGTGAACATATATCATCAAGCACATGGAGATTAGTAAATGATAGAAAGATAGTACTTATGAGCCATGTAGGAAGCCACCATCGTCAACCTGGCCCTTTGGTTCCTAAAGCACCGTACACAATGACTGTAGGTGTCTGTTTTCGGAGAGTAATTTGATATATTATCAACACCGGTCATCTAAAATATTATTTCAACTTGGTTTATAAATATGAATGATTTTCTCCGGCACCTATCGTGAGAGATTAATCTACTAAATTATTATCTCCGGTCATCTATCAGATTATTTTACATTAATTTTGTAGACAAATAACAATTTTATCTATAATTATTTCCCTCTTTATGCTATACACGTTCCAAAAGGGTTTTTGCACCGTGGAAAATTTAAGAAGACAATAACCAACCGCAATAACCGATAATGAAATGAGTAACTAAAATTATTTGAAGAATTAGAGATGATCCATGTGACACAGCCGTCATAACATTTGTTTGTTTTCTGATCTAATTAACTTATACATTCAAGAAACAATTTATGTGTAGTAATTTATAATATATGTTCCAACCAATGGATTATGACAATATAGGGCGTACTTCCAGCAGTCTGTCTGTTATGATTTATATTAATATTAACACAACGTCAACAAACAGGAGCCCACCATTTTTGGGATCCAATATATATAAGAACATATTTACATTGGTATAAAATTTGCTAACGTGTCATATTTGGAACCATTCGATCTAGGAGTCTAATAGCTATATATCAAATGCATGTGCTTGCATGTTCTACTTTAGTTTGTGGCTCTTGAGGAATTGAAGAGTACCAACATCAAATTAGAAGAATAAAACTTCGAGTAGTGATGATGTGTTAGATGAAAAAGAGTTTGATCTTCTTATTTGCCGCCACTCACTTTATTGTGATATTTGCTTCGTCACTTTTAAGATTTTGCTAACGAGTGCTAATTACCAGCCTAACTTACAAGTATAATAGAATTTATTGTATATAGCTATATCTACTTTAGATGATCGTGTTGTTATAAAATGAAAAAAAAAAGGGGGGGAGAAAAGAATTTACTAGCCGGTGCAAGCAATTTTGTTAAGATGCTATATAATAATTTGACTTGACAAATTAAGGACAATATGATACACAAGTTATTTGTGATTCTTTTAAAGTGCATGCGTGAAGAATACATGTCGCGTATATATATAAATGTATGTATATATATACATATATATATATATATAAATAGATATATGTACTTTATATTGGCCGGGGGAAAAAAAAGGAGATTATAAAGATATAGAACGTTCATATAGAGGATTTCGTCATTCAGAAGTCTCGAAGGGGCCTATGTAACTATATATGCACATATATGTAGCGTCTGCAGAGACAAAAGATGCATGCATCTTTGTCTGTAAGATTGCCCTAGTCATGTATATTACGTGGGCGTACTATGAAGCAAACATGTTAGAACATGATCATTTACGAATAATTTTGTAAGACAAACAATCATCATCCTAACGGAAAATGCGGGGTTCATGAATGTCAGAAAAGCAAAATCTACCTTATCCCAACATCGAGATCTAATTTTCCCACTTCATGTTAACATAAATATTGACAAGTAACACTAAATGCTGGCACTTCATTTCCTCGTAGTTTTTATTAAATAAGGTTTCCTGTTTACAAACATGGGCTAACCACCATGAACCCTAGCAAGGGCTTAATAATTATATAAATGTTATGCCATGTTTTATTGAGCTGGAATGAGGAAAATTAATGAAACCCTCCTCCTAATTAGTATACATGATATATATGTATATATATATATATATTGTGAATATATATGCATTGAATTTGGAAAGTTGGGGGAAGAATAATCCAGAGTGTTTTCATGAGATGGGTGGTGATGAAAGGTGGTGGAGAAGAATCATGTGGTTGCATGTGCATCGAGTTGGAGAACATGCCCCAAAGCAAATAAGCTCACACCCTTTGGTACACGTGGAGCTATCCTATTCATTCATCCCCATTCTCTTGGAGACCTTCCATGAAATTGTGTGTTGTGGCCCCCCAACTTTTTAACTAATTTGCGTTATCCTTAATGGCAGCCCACCCAATTCTCAATCACACCATATTATATATAAAACCCCCCCTTCAAGCCGTTACCTCATATCATGTGTAATTATATTTGAGGTTCTATAGTACTATTGATACAAATTTAAGTTGAAGAAAGTACTAGCAAACCAGCTAAGCTAATTAGAGAAAATCATGGGAATTTCTCAGTATTCTCTTCTTGAGGTACCCCTTGATGAATTGAAGAGCAATAGTATTATCCAAGGAAATGAGGATCAACATGGCAATTCAAATATTATTGGGTCCTCGTCCTTGTGGAACCAACGTTTGAAACGACGTGTCGTCTCAAGGAGTAGCGTACACATGACCCCGCGCAGTAAAAGGCCTAAGAGGATTGTGATGAAGAGGAGACGTCTAGGAGCTTCTAGAAGGCGAGCAAATGGGGTAGTGAGAAGGGTCAGAACTCTGAAGAGGCTCATTCCCAACAGCGAGTCCGTTGGGACTTTGGATGGACTTTTCAGAGAGACGGCTGACTATATTTTGTGTCTGCAAATGAGAGTAAGAGTCATGCAAATTGTGGTTAAGGTATTATCAGGTTCTGATGAGGACTAGATAAATATTGATTAGTTCTACTATAAGTACTCCTTTGTAAAGGCAGTCTTGTATTCTTTTCTTCTTTCTTAATTCTCTTTTTCCCTCCCCCTACAATTTCTTTCTTTCTTTCTTTAATTTTCTCTTGTATCATGGAATCATGATTGTTCATATAGTCATGATTATATAGAAGGTTGTTTTCGGAAGTCCCATGTATAAGTGGCCTCCAAGGTCATACTCATGCTTTCTAGATCACGAGTAAACAGCCTAGCTAATGAACATCATTTTATTGTGTGAATGAATTCAGACTTATTACTTACCCACACTTCTTATATTCATCTCATTAATTATACAACGAGTTACGTATTATTTAGATTATGTACAGCACACTTTTAAAATTTAATCATTCGTCTGTATTATTATTATTGTTGCAGAGATGAACGAGTGGTTGATAACTTCGATCTTCAAAACTCGTATAATTCGAAAGAAAGAACTGTTTATAAATGAAGCTCATACTTTTCACATAAATGGTATATACTCAAACGTCAACTCTCTATATCAGTGGCGTTTTTCTAATTTAGCCACCAATTACCGTCCAAGTATCTCTTATAATTCTGAAATTATCCTTTCAGCTCAAACTCTACAACAAAGAACTCTTTGGCCAGTCTTTGTAAATACCAATATTTGAATCAGCCGCCTGATAAGTACTTATTGTCAGTTTATGAAATAACTACACGACAAATTATGGTAGTACTATATATTATCAATATCCGGCAAGTAGATTTTAAAGAAATATAACAGCGCTTACTTATGTGTATATAATATTTATATATATATATATATATATATAATTTCTATATTGGAACTACTTCTACATTGCACGTTGGAGAAACGAAATAAAATAAAACAAAAACAGAAAAGCTCACGAGGCAATTGCTAGCTGCCATAGCCTAAATGTACCCTAGTTGTCCCCCTAAAAATTAGTACTTAATACAGGATCAGACTATTTAAAGTTGCAAGTGCTTGCCAAGTCAGACTAGCTAGAGGAGATATTACTATATATTTCAGCGGAATTCAAGTTTGAACTTTTGAAATGCTGGCAATGCACGCTCTTGGATGCATCGCTTGTCAAAAATAGAGGAAAAAAAAAACTACAAGTTTTCCACATCTATATTATATATAGTACTTTTTAAGGTTTGAGACCTCCACCAAAAGTGGAAGTCTTCGTTTTTTTTAGAAGCAACGTATGTTGTTGTATATGTAAAGATTTTCAGCGAGGAGAGAACGAAGCAGAGGAAGAGAGAGGAGCAGAAGAGGGCGTGTGGAAAAAATACAGCGATGTACCCAAAAAAAAAAAAAAAAAAAAGCCAATAATCTCCATTAACTATAAAAATAGAGAGTCTTTACGGTAGAACATCTTATTTTGTTCCACCGGGGAAAACAGTTATTTTTTATCACTATATTAATTTTATTTAACCGTTAAATATATACATGTTTGCATTAAAAATTTACAACGCGTCATGCTGCTCTTTCCTGCTACAAATCTAACCATAGCTATCCTAAATTTGAGAGAATCATAAGACGACAATATTCTCAAATGATGGAAACCCAAAACTAATGCAACTTTAAAGACGACATCAAACTTTAAAACGACAAAATTTCACAAACGAAACGACCACTAATATAAAACGACAATAAAATCTTAAAAACGACTACAATCTATGTTATGGCCGTATGCTTCAATCTTGATGTAGCTATTCAGTATAATACGCCTATTATACATTGCTCCTCCATCTGTACCGTGAATGCATTTAGTTCCTTTGATATTATACTGCAGAAATTTTACTATAACAAGTTAATAAACAAAACGACAATATTTTAAAAAGCAACGAAAAATCACCGAAACAAACGAAAGTCGTATCAGAAACGACATTAAATTAGTAAAACCAAGACGCTTTTGATTAACTAAAAAACGAATGACATAAAACTTAAAGCCGACAGAAAATATCATATCAACCTGTTAACTGAAAACTAACGCAGAGAATAATACAAAAAGAAAACTACAACCATAAAACTCCATGACAATCATGAGACGACAATGTGCTCTATTAAAATTTGAATGATTATAACCTTTCGAGGGGGGAAGCCAAATAAAAACGACACCAACCTCAAAAACGACAATATTGTACCAACGACAACTGATAGAAATACGACAGTTGGAATCTCCTGGAGTTTCTAGCAGTTTTGTTGTCGTTACCGATAGAAATTTGGCATCGGTGTTACTGGTTTTTCCCCTTTTTGGAATCTCCTTGAGTTTGATGTAGATTTAGCAAATATTGATCCAACATGAATGCGGGCTAACAAACTTGGGCTAGTTTCGGTTGTCTAATGACTATTCACTTTTGAAGTTTTCAACTATATACTCTACTATGATGTGAAAATGTATTATGTTAGACTAAAGTAAAATGTTTGAGATCTGCCGTTTTATAGTATTCCGCTAATTCACCCTTATAAAACTTTGGTTCGTTTAAGCCGAAAGATTATATTCAGGTTCAGTTAACTGGTATTGATGTGAAATCTTGTTGGGGTGCAACGGAAAAACGGTGGTAGGGTCCAGCTCTCCAAACAAAGTGTTAGTCCTAACAAATGGGTTATTTTTTAAAAAAAAAAAAAAAAAAAAAAAAAAAGTGGCTAGAATCCAACCAAGGCGACAATTGCAAAGCATTTCATCAACAAACTTCATCACTCCATTATCAATAGCGGTGTAATATCATCTTTTCTTGACAATCATAGAGAGATTTAGAACGTTTCCAATACAAATTTTTGTTCACACCCAAAAGATGCATAAAAATTATACAAAACATAGACTTTTGAGCAATTATTCATTATTTTTCCCTTTTGGTAAATCAACAAGGTTAATTATATTCGGAAAAAATAAGGGTTAAATCATGGGGATTTAATTAACTAGTTAATAAATTAATCCAAGAATTATTATTGATATGGAGAATAATATTAATAATATTATCAAGATAAACATGGTTCTTGTTTTAAGACATGCAAAATGACTGATTCAAATTTTAATTATGCACTGCAAAGTTTCTAAAATGTGACGAATTAATTGAGCATATGCTTTATTTCTCCTCCCCAATATGGTCGACAGGTGGGTTGTCACTTTGCATTTGAAATTTTCCAATTAAGGATTATAGGTGTCAGCACCAACCAAGTACAAAGATATGTCATCTGCATTTGAGTCAGCATTTATTGGCATATTTTTCAAACAAAATGATGCACAAACAGCAATTCTTGATTTCCCTCTCTCTCTCTCTCTCTCTCTCTCTCTCTCTCTCTCTCTCTCTCTCTCTTCTGTATAATGCATTAGCTCTCAACAGGTACGGATACAGTGGTGCGCAAGGTAAAAATATGTATAGTACCCTAGTTCATATATATTATAGTAATAATGATTGTGATGCATTAAGTTAATGCTTAAGGTTTTATTTTGGCTTAGTTGATTGATCGTTATAAGTTGTGAATGGCATTGACAAAAAAGACCTCTAAAACAATCTATTAACAGAAGAAAATCACTCTAATTATAACACAAACACAGTTAAATACCCCTATACTTAACTAACTGACAGTACAGTTACATTAGTCATGACCCCATAATTCAGATTTTCGAAATTTTATTTTTGGAATTATTGGGTTTTTAAAAAAAAATTAATATCAATGTCTTGATAGTAAATTCTACGTCATTTCAATTATGAGTGTCCGTTGGTGATAACTAATTTATCATTTAAAAGAGAAATTACAAATAGACCAAATTAATTAATGGAGTTTCATCACAAATATAATTCACAAAGAAAAAAAAAATTGAAGAAAGAAAAAAAAAGATAAATATTGTTTGCTCTCTCTCTCTCTCTCTCTCTCTCTCTCCATTTGGAATATCTCAATATACAGTCAATAGAAGATCGCAGAAGGCTTACATCTTTGGACCTTTAATTGTCTCATTCTATTTGACTTGGTCCTCTTTGAATCCAATTCATAAAATATCCCTCCCTTTTGTTAACTCCACACATGTATTATCGTATTCACTAAATAAATTAAAAAGAAGTTTTACTTTGACTTCTCATGTGCACCTCTTAGCATCCTCTCAAAACTTATAAAATAAATAAATAAATAAATAAAATTGAAGTCGCAACTTGCAAATTGTTGGGTTATGACTGAATGACTCCCAACAAAGAGTATCAACTAAAAAGTAAATGTAATCGTCTCACGGGTCATATAGAAAGAGCTCTCTAATTATCTCTGAATTATATATATATATATATGTCAAACTTCTATAACGTCTCTCATAGAGAGAGAGAGAGAGAGAGAGAGAGAGAGTATCAAGTATCATGACCTATAGATATATACTATTTATATTTTATTGTTAGGAGATGAACGGGATAAGTTCACGGTTTCATGTGGGATGAGACTCTAATTTTTATAAAATATATAAGAAGTAGGTGGGGTTAAGAAATCTGCAACAAATATTTAAAAAAGAAAAAAAGGAGCGTGAGAAACAGGTATAGGAAATCTTGGCTTATGACCCGGCAATAATGGAGGGTGTTAGCAACATAAATCTACTAGATTAGGAATATCATGATTACTTTCTCTTTCTTATATGCTTTTAAAAAACAAAATATATATAGACGGGAAAAAAAGAGAAAATAAAAAAGGAAAATTATGATCAGAGAGAACCAAGAAGAGGAAGATAGGAAATTGTCTTATCCATTGATTGGCTTCACATGCATTTGTTGTTGTGATAGAGATGGGAGAAGTTATTACCAAATTCATGATAATTTCAGCTAATTAACATTAATCTTTTTTAGGGAGTCTAATTATCATTAACCAAAAGGTGAATATGGGTGGTTCATTTGTGTGTGTGTGTGTGTTTATCACACAAATATATGTACTGGACTGAGATATGCCATGATGTCATATCTTTTTAACATAATATTGATTGATGGCAATAATTTTCTTAAAAAAAATGCCGTGGAATTTAGGGGAAAAACTTGAAATGTTGTATGCATTAGGGGATATATCAAGAAAAAGACACAGAAATCACGCTAATAAAATTGCACTACAAGCAATTTAAACATTTTATCTTTTTTTAACACATTTTTCATTTTTCATAATTAGAAACCAATACATTTCTTTATTTAAAAAACCAATTAATGTCCATAAAAAAAACAATTAATGGTAGCTATAATATGAAAGGAGGAGCCACACAATGCGCAATGCGTTGTATGTTATGTTAGTAGTAGAATCGTGCACGTTGCATGTTGGTTTTCTGACAAGCAAATACTTTCAAATGCGATTAAAAAAAAAAAAAAAGGGATTCCAAAATTTATCAACACAGAAATGTGCTCAATAATTTAAAAATAAAAAACAAATCGAACCATAATTACGGGACAAATGGCATAGACTCGTGACAATGGTCAAATATTGGGCTTTGGGTCTGTGGCTTTGGGCTGGTAATGGGAAGACGGAGACTTTTCGCAACAAAACAAAATTACTTTAATTAATTTTGTGCTGTTTTTGTCTCTTTTTGAGCTCCCAAACGTATCCGAGAAGCAACATTAGTCAAACAGTCACTTTAATAATTTTTTTTTCACATTTAATATCATATAGTACCATCATCCAATCTTACAATATCGCCATATAATATTAGACATGGATTAAAAATATTATTATTATTCTTCCACTAACAATATTGATACAAAAGAAATATACGTATATCATATATAATACCATATCTTGAAACGTGTACTGTTTAGCCAACCTTAGATTATTCCAAACCGCGTTTAAAGCCTTTTCCTTACAATAATTTTGATCTTAATGACCATTTATATGGAAAAGGAATTATTTTACCATTATATATATATATATATATTATTTATGTATCAAACTTTAAAGGGTGAAACTGAAAATCAAGTATAAATTTACCGCTATTATATGCTTACAACCACCATACCTATGTTATTTTGATGAGACATACATAAATCATGAAATTTTAATTTACGATTCCTTAAAAGCATATTGGACGTGAAAATAGGAATTGAGTGCTACTATATATTTATCAATATTTGTGATAATATTAAATAAATCAAATTTCACTATGTTATGTGACAATTTCAATATTCTACTGCGTTTAGTGATTACATTATAACTAATTAATCGTGATAGATAACCTTTTGTTAAGCAAATTTGTTACCTCAGATATATAGACACAATAGTCAACAGACTCTAATATATGCTTTTTGATCAAATATGGCGCATTTACATGTTCTCATGTCAGCTACAGTAAAGACAGGCCGTAGGATCTAACAACGTGGACGGTGATGGTGTAGTTGATAAAGGGGCAGACGAAAGGGGCAATCAAAGGAGGGACCCACATGTGTGATTTTGAAAGACTAACCTACGCAACGGTCACGTATGGTATGGGAAATGGTTGGGTGAGACATGGGAACCTATGGAACCGTGCAATCGTGGCCTAAGTAGGTTTCATGAAAATAGAGATAACGTGGATTGAGGCAATTTTGGTTTTGAATTTTGTGGACAAAACTTGATGTTAATATATCCTTGTGTGCCCTCAAAAGTGGCCTGTCTCTTCATATTGGTGAAAAACCTTGTCTTATGAAACTAATATATGAATCAATACAGAGATGTACACGTACAATGAACCCATAAGGAGTTTGAAGAATAAGTTTAGTTAATTATTTATGGGTTGAACTCTAATCACTCAAATATCAGTCCTTTTTTTTAAAATTTTTTTTTAGTTTGATTTGGAATATGCTTTGTTTTCAAGGGATCACTTCAAATGCGTCACGGAATCTTATCTCGTATGGTTCTAATCTATATCTTAACATCACTTAAGACGGTTGGGTCTAATCACACGAGGATTAAAGTGATATGAGGCTTTAGATAATTTATGAGTTTGATCCCTGTTTTGTATTAAAATGAAAATAAAATCTATTTATTGACGTCATACTATGTAGATGCTTCAGTACTGTACCCTATTTTTTCTTTAACCCCGCAAAGAGAAAAAAAAAAAAAAAAAAAAAAAAAAAACCATTTCTTGGCTCTAAATGGGAAACCTCATATAGGATAGGAGGCCATGAGAATTTGGTGATAGAAAAGCCGTGGCTTTAGTCAGAGTATAGAAAAAGTTAGAAACAACATAATTGAAGCATGGAAAGGTACACGGAAATTATGTCAGCGTGTGATATTGGCGCCTCATGCGTACGCCACACGTGTATACGTGAATAAACCTTTTCCATAAACAGTTCACACCAAAAGATAAGACATCCAAGAGAGAGAGATCGCTAACTTGTTCCTCTTTTTCTCTTTCTGATCATCTCTTTTTGTTTCTTATAATTTCTTCTTTTTTTTTTTTTGTCCTTGGGATCTACACATATTTTCCATATCTTGGCCGCGAGAGAAAAGCAGCTATCACCCACCGACTCCGCTTATTTAGACGCAGGGAATTTTTTTTTTTTTTTTTTTTTTTTTTTTTTTTTTTTTTTTCCAAAATGTCGTTTCACACCTTAAAGATCTATAATAGTATACTTAATTCTATTTAAGGTTCTTAAATGTACTTCCAATGGAAGTACATGGTTACGTTTGTACACTGATGTATTCAATTGATTGTAAAAGAAGACCCTAGAATATATCCACCCTTATTAAGTTTATCTTTTTTCCACAATTATATTTATAAATTGGGTTATATGTGTTGTGTGTGTGTGTATATATATATATATATATATCATTGTTCCTCATATATGGATGCATCAAGTATATATAATTTTGATATAATCGGATGCCCTATATACATCTTTTTCTAGTAACATTCCCACTCTCATCACATGTTGAAGCAGTCAAAAAGTTTATGCATACTAAATATAGGGGAGAGGCGCTATGGCTATAGTTTAAACAATATAAAAGGAGACCTTTTTTCTTGAAGAGTAGTATTGAACCTTCTAATCTACATATCATTCAAATTGATATATTAAGTAAATTTTTTAGTTTTTTTTTTAGTTTTTTTGCCGGTGTGTTATGGGGACAAACATCACACTTCAGCAAGTCATTCCCTTGAGAGAGAGAGAGTTTGCCGTGTATTGAGTGAGGACAATTTAATTAGCTAGCTAAAGAGTATACAAGACATCCGAAAGTAATATAGAAAAGCAATAAAGAAAACAAGCAAAGAAGAGGATAACGAAAGAAATAAACAAAATTCCAAAAAGCAATTGTAAAAGAAAAAAAAAAGAAAAAGAAAAGTGAAGAAGAAAAAGAAAAAGGAGGAATATCTTTGGAGGATTCCATCAAATGTGAAGATCACATGATGAACACGAGCCACATTCATTTCATATTACAAAGAAGAAACAAATCCCTTTGTAGCCAGCCGTAAGAAGGTCACGTGCTAGGCAGCCTGGTTCACACTCGTATCATGCATAAGGAGAGAAGTGTTCACACTATTTTTTTTTTATTATTAAATATCAAACACAAACAATAATAATAGATGGTCAAGACTCAAAACTCAAACGTATGAAACCGTGGGAGTCGACCACTTTGTCGGAACTTGGAAAAACCAAAACCAAAACCAAAAAAAAGTAAAACCCTTGTTCAATAATATTCTTGCATGCATTCAATTCAAATTGCTGCTATAAAACCGGCTTCTGTTCAACTCCGTACAAAACCTTGACCTACAATTGCCGGTCAATCTTCGATGGCCACAATCTCTCTACAGTCAATTATCCTCACCAGTCCACCCCTAAAGGTTAGACCTTCACTTTCTTCCAAACCCATCTATCTCTCTCTCTCTCTCTCTCTCTCTCTCTCTCTCTCTCCCCCCTTATAAACCAGTTCGACCTTACCCTACTTACTCTTTTTCCTTCTCTCTCTGTAAACCAAAAACAGACCCCACTCTCTCTCTCTAAGTATTTTGAGACGTTGATGAGCAATTTGCAGTACTAGGTACTAGTACTGTTACTACCTTTGAGCTAGTGAGCTATGGAGAAGATCATGAAGGAAAATACCATTATCGGATCAATACCGTCCTCATTTTCCGATCATATTATTTCAAACACTTATCCGTTAATCTCAGCCAATACGTTTGACTACTTGTGTGAAGGAGAAAAGGGCTCGCTAGGGTTTATGGAGCTTCTGGGTGTTCAGGACTTCAGTACTCCTCCTCCTTCCTTGTTTGATTTTCCACTGCAGTCATCTTCTTCTTCTTCTTCTTTAATGGCTTCCAATGCTAATATAAAAGAGGAAGTTATGAATAATAATAATAATAATAATCAGCCTGCAACGCCCAACACTTCGTCGATTTCGTCGGCATCGAGTGAAGCCCTCAATGAAGATCCTCAACAGATTAAAACTGCAGAACAAGAGGAAGATGATGATGAAGAAGATGATGATGAAGAAGAAGAAGCACATGAAAAGACCAAGAAACAGTAAGCTAATCTTTCTTAATCATCAAGATCTAGAAGTGGGGTTTTTCAATCTTCTTTTTGTTTCTATTTTTTCTCCTCTCTTTTGGGTTGTGCAGTATAAAAGAACCATGTTATGGCTTGGTGTGAAAACTGATTCAGCGATTGGGAATATCAATGGGGGTTTTTGTGAAATGGATCATTATATTATTATTTGTTTAGTTATTATAAAATATGGCAGCCGATGTGATGATTTTTTTTTTTTTATTTATCGATGTGTTTGTGGGAGAGAAGGTTGAAAGCGAAGAAGACAAATAAGAAGAGACAGAGAGAGCCGAGATTTGCGTTCATGACGAAGAGCGAGGTTGATCATCTCGAAGATGGCTACAGATGGAGAAAGTACGGCCAAAAAGCTGTGAAGAACAGCCCTTTTCCCAGGTATAAATATATATATATATATATATATATATATATTCACAAACACATATGACCTTTCTAATTCACTGCAAAACCCTCTCTTACATATCTTTCTTTTTATTAATAATCAACGAGTAATATAAAGGAATATGAGAAACCTTACATTATTTTACCTTCAATGTTTGCAAACAATGATCTTATTATGGATTTGTGAAGATATGTTTTGTTTGACACGATCATGAGAACAATGGTACAAATTTTTCATTTTGAATATTCTCTATATTTTTTCCTATTAATTAATTAATTAAGGGGTTGCTATGTATGTATGTATATATATATATATATATATATGTAGGAGTTACTATCGTTGCACTAGTGCATCATGTAATGTGAAGAAGCGAGTAGAGAGATCGTACAGTGACCCAAATGTGGTGGTGACCACTTACGAAGGCCAACACACTCACCCGAGTCCACTCACTTCTCGCCAATTAACTCACGGCGGCGCTCCTCCGGCAGCC